CAAAGACATACTGGCTAGACAAACAATGAGCCCATGACGCTTTTTGGCCGAAGTCTGCGCTCGCGTCTAAATACTTGTATAATAAACTAAATAAATAAATAAATATATATATATATATACATATATATATTTTTTTGAGGTTGAGTTAATTGGCTTTAATTACGACTACGAATCAGCCTTCTCCTGGACAATAGGCAAGCATCACAAATCCGAAGAACGCAAATGGGCTGTTAAGATATTGCAGCTTTGGTCTTGGAAGCAACTTTGCTCTAGCGGTAGCGGGTTTCCTACTGGCCATTGATGACTTGTATATATATATACATACATACATACATACATACATACATACATATATATAGATATATATATATATGTATATAATTATATATATATATACACATACACATGTATACCATGCTCCTCCCATCATTGAAACGCAGAAATCCTAAAGTGTGAAATATATGCATACATATATGTTCATGTATATGAGTATATGTGTGCGTATATGTATATATACACAGATGCAAATATATACATATATATATATACAACGTATATTGTACGTATATACATATACACTATAGCTAGACAGATCGATAGATAGACAGATCGATAGGTAGCTAGATAGATAGATAGATGGATAGATGGATAGATGGATAGATTGATAGATAGCTAGACAGATCGATAGGTAGCTACATTGATAGACAGATAGATGAATAGGTAGTTAGATAGATAGATAGACAGATCGATAGATAGTTAGCTAGATAGACAGATAGGTAGATAGATACATAAGTACATAGATTTATATTGAGTTTAGCACTTCACCTGCCTGAGGATGATGCCCCCTGCAAAGCTCTCGAGACGCCCAAAACCTTCCAAGCCCAAAGAAGCAAAGCCCTAAACGACTGAAATCCTCCCAAAGTCATCGAAGAGTCCTGGACGGCCTTGAAAAAGGCCGGCCGGGTCATGCCCACTTTCCCACCGAACTCTCGGTACAAGAGCGCGACCTGCTCCTGCTTTGTCTCACGGCTGAAGGCTTCGGAATCAAGTTCATTCAGTCTCTGTCAAACGCAGGACACCCTGTGAAAAGGCTTCGGGTTCAAAGCTCGAAGGGTGCTGCTTATCATCGTGCGTACAACACCCTGAACCTGGAAATAACATGGAGTCTCGCTGCAGGTTCTCTGACGGCTTCTAAGATTCTACGAAGTGTTCCCGAAACCCTCCCACACGACACGTCCTGGGTCAGGTCAGCTGTCAAACTGGAGGCATATGCTTGGAACTCAGGCAGGGAAAGCTGCTCGGCGTCTCCCTTCACGGCACTTTCAAAGGCGGCATCGCGCGGAGTGCCTTGCTTTCGAAATGCGGTCCTTTCGGCGCAGAAAGGGCGCAAAGGATGCTGAGTTGCAGCAACAGCAGCAAGACAGCTAGGTCGCTAGGTCTGGGCTAAGGGCAGGTGGGCTCAGTGCATGTGGACGAGTGCTCGCAGGGGCATTTTCGAATGTTGGGGCTACAGCGGCTACAGAGATGTTTGTCCTACGTTGCGGCTGCAAACCTGGAGAAGTTCGAGGAAACAAGCATTTCTTGGCTTGTGAGCATTCTTTGCTGGTACCTGTGAACCGACACTGACAACAAACACAAAGCCTCGTACTCCAAAGAATACAGTACCAGTACCACAGACCCTGAAACGTTCGGAGCCACAACAACCGACTGACTTGACCTATAACTCGAACACCAATTTACAATGAGAACTTTCCAAATCATGAAAATACCACAAGACATGCAACAAGATGCAGCACGGCTCCTCAAGCCATTCTTGGCCTGGAAGAGAGTGGTTTTGACCACCTGGCTCACGCTTGTCGCGTTGCTTTCGGGCGTTCGGGGCCTCCGTCCTCGGGTTATTTAGGTCCCCGTCCCCCCTGAGATCGATTGATCCAAAGAAGCTCTGCACAAATGTGGCTCTGCTCTGCTCTGACATCTGTTTGGGGATCCCATTTCTGACATTTCTTGCTTTGTGGCCCACCTGCGCATGCGCCACTCGCAAAGCTTCCGTGGCGCTCTGGCAATTCCTCGGACGCGAGCCCCGGAGTGAAGTAAGCTTCAGACGTTGAACGGTTTAGGCCCGTGCAGGCTTCAGTCCTAGAGTTCGGCCTTGCAGGCTGAAGAGAGAGATGTAGCTATTCGGGACTGTTCTGGCTCAATGCTTACACCATACCTTACCTTGCTTTACCTTACCTTCGCTTAAAGCACCCTACCTTACCTTACTTGTTGATATATAACATACGCTACAATGCCACACAATGCAACACAATACAAAACAGTACAATAGTACATCCATCCATCCATCCATCCATCCATCCATGCACGGCAACAGTGTCTCTGCGAAGGTCTGCTTTAGGGTCTCAGCTCCAAGTTCCCAAGCTCAAGCTCGGGCCACGCCCCTCCGACCACGCCCTCCGGATTACACGGGCCTTGACCAAAAAAACGCATGACTCAGCTTAGGCTTCAGTGTATAGCGTTCGGCTCTGACAGCCTGGTTCCATTTGGCCGTCAGGAAGCTTGGACGCGAAGGTTCTGAATCTTGCATCCGACACGCTGCATGCCATCTCAATTGATCCCAGTCGCAGAGTCGAAGAGATAAGTCTAGGCCAAACACTCAAAGCTAGACGTGCCTCAGGCTCCGATTCCTCCCTGCCCCGCCCCACAGCTGCAACTCGAAAGGCCTTGAAGGCCCTAAATCCCCAGCAGAGGGACCTCTCCGCGGCCGATGTCCGCGACTTGAGCTTTGTGAGCTCCACCCGGGCTTGCAGCAGAAGGTTCCGGCTGGGTCCTGGCATGCCAGCAGCCGTACTCTGCTTTGCTACTTGTAGCTGCTTGCAGCTGCCGTCTTGTCGTCTTGATACTCTTCCAGCTGTGAACTACTACGACGACTGCGACGACGGCGACCACCACCACGACTGCGACTGTCCTCCCCGTATTTTTCTGGGTGTGTGCTGCTTGCCTCGGATGTGCTGCAACTACTGGTGTCGTCCGAGATGAATCGAGCATGTGTCACACGGGGCTTGAGCCTGTTTTGCTCGTCCCGGATTGGTGCATTCAAGTAATTCAAGTGCATCCACAGATCTAGCGACCTGTCATGGAGCGATAATTGGTAAAAGGAACCCCCAAACAGCCGAAAAACTCAAGCGTTCAACCAACAACGGAACTCGGCAACCCTAAACTCCCTAAACCTCTACCCAAAGTCGACTAAGGCCCTAGGCCCTAGGGCCAAAAGTGCAAGCCACCGAAGTCACATTTTTGGGGACCTTGCCTCGGTAGGTGTCGTGCGCTTCTAGCAGCTTGGCTACCACCACCTGCTTTTGACGCTCCACTCCACAGGGAAGGATACCAAAGCTCAGTGCCTAAGGGTCCACAGTACAAGAAGAAATCTAAACCTCAAAAACACTAAACATTGTTCCGATACCCAACACATCACAAAATTCTAAAGACTCCCTCGACGAAACTCCTCGTTCCCGCATCATGTGGCCAAGAGCTGGACGCATGCACTCCACCTCGCATCCCGCACCCTAGGTCCCATGAAGTCTGCAACACCACCGGCATGTCTTGCGCACCCAAAGAAGCTCAGGTTCTAAACTTTAAAAGCCTGTGAAGGGTGGCAGGTCTAGGTGTCCAACCCGGACCCTGAACTCCAAGCCCAACGAAATCCTAGAACCACAACATGAAGTCTCTTGCTTGTACATGAGACTGTAACGCTTAGGAATTACACCACCAAGCGAGCGAATCCTCCCAACTCGCCGGGAGCGCCTTGGCCTCATTCAGCGAATGCAGGGCCTCATCCGCCTCCCTCTTCAAGGCCTGGAAGATTTAGGAGTTTGGTCTGAACCTTTGACCTAGGGCCTAGGCTTCATACCGGTGAAGCACTGGGCACCTCTATGCGATTGAGCAATGTATTCTGCCTCGAGCTCGGCGAGACCCATGCCGGCGAGTGCGGCTGCCGAGCGCGGGGCGGCGGTCGCCTGGAAGGCAAGGCGGCCGCAGAAGGACTTCCAGTGTAGGGACGATGCAGAAATCATGCTTTGATCTTGCTGACTGCCTGATTCTTGCAGAAGTATCACTGGAGAAGTAGTAGTAGTAGTAGTAGTAGTCGTCGTCGTCGTCGTAGTAGTAGGAACAGCAGTAGGAGTAGCAGTAGCAGTAGCAGTAGCGGTAGCGGTAGCGGTAGCAGTAGCAGTAGCAGTAGCCGTAGCAGTAGCAGTAGGAGTAGTAGTAGTAGTAGTAGTAGTAGCAGCAGCAGCAGCAGCAGTAGTAGTAGTAGTAATTTTAGTAGTAGCAGCACTGAGAACCACGGAGGCGTTCGGTTATCTCCAGCCAGTC